TTGATACATAAATTTCCACTTCAGTTTTGTCGACATCTTTAGTATCTCAGTCCCCCCTCCCCGCACCCACCAGGTTAAACATTTTCAGTCCCTTTTTGCATGACATGGTTTTCATCCTTTCAACACCTTTGCATTTTCCTACCAATTACGATACAATGGTTCCTGATAAAGGACATGTTCACAGAAGGTCATTTTCAGATAATCTGAGTTCAGTACTTGAAAAGAAATCAAATGGTGAAAAGATGGAAGAATAGAGAAATGCCTAACACTAGTCTGCTCTCCATGGGGTAGAACCAAAGCAACAGGTTGGTAACCATATATGTAGGTATGTGGTCAGGAATGAGCATTAGCAAATGACAGAGGAAATGAAACCTGGTAAAATAGAAACCATGAAGAAGAACAAAGCAAGAGAAGCAGAAAACCTGGAGTACATGGAACCTAGTGCCTTGTTCGAGGAAAGAGAAATCCCCATTTCTAGGGAGTAAAGATGAAAGAGAAGGTTAGGGTTAGTGTGGTGCACCAGGCCTTACTTTCACACAGCTCAAAAAAATAAAAAATAAAAAATAAGTGACCTGGAATCTTCACAACAAGCTTCCTTTAGAGAAAATATTTATTGCATCCCTCAGAAAATTCTGAATGTTGCAGCCAGGAGCCATCTTGAGGAGGATCATAATGTCTGGGACTATGCTGTTCTGGGGGTCAGAAAGCTAGGCATAATAGCATCTCAGGGTCCCTGTAGACACTCTGTTGCATCGACTGGGCGGTTGGCAGCCCCCCATGGCACTCTTGGTGGGGTGGGGCTGTGTTTGGAAGAAACCTGCTAAGAGTTTTATAATACAAAGAGTGTAAGCAGAGAATGGAAGAGGGGTGCGGGTCACTGTCCTCTAGAATCAGTGGCTCCATGAGTCTGTGACTTGGAGTAACAGCAATTATAAGTGGTTTCACATGAGAACCAGGTCTGAGATACCAAGATCAAGGGTAGCAAATCACTTGGGTTTCTGCTACAGTCTTCCAGCAAAGAATTCAGTGGTTCAGTTGTTCTTCCCAGCCTTGGAGGAATCCGGGGCTCAGCCATGACTTTGGCATCTGCCAGGTGCCTGAGCACAAAGACCCAAAACTTCCAGAGCAAACAGACACTTGGAATGGATCGGTTTCTGCCCCAAATTTGTCAATGATCAGGACTTGTTGGGGCTACAAATTTGTCACCTCGCCTGAGTGTGTAGACTAGAAACCTGCAGAAAGACTATGTGCCAAGAATGGCTTGCATTCCACCTTAACCCATTAAGCAATAAATACTTAGCACAGCCTGCATTCCACCCCAATTTCCCTGGTGAGAGCTGAGGGGAATTTCAACAAGCTGCAGTTATGGTCCACTAACCCTCCTATACTCGGTGGATTTCAAACTTAGAAAAAGAGAACGTTAGATTTGCATAGCCTCCGATTATGTGCCCTCACTTGTATTTCTAAAAACTTTTCATCTTTTCTTTTTTTCTCTATCAATTCTATTTTAATTGAATGATTAAAATTTTGTTTTTATTTTTATCGTTTTCATTTTTTATATTTCTTTCTATTTTTAATATTTTTCTCTTTTTTATCCTTTTCATTTTTTTATGTATTTTTGTCATAATTTTTATTTATTTATTTTTCCCAATACTGGAATCAAACTCAGGACTTTACACATATTGGACAAGAGCTCTGCCTTTGAATTATGCTTCCAGATTGGTCGACAGTCATAACCTAGTCTCCTACTCAAGCTTTAGCAGTCACTTATACTTACAAAGAAGAAATAAGCTCCCGGCTGTCTACCCTCCTCCAGATGAGCACAGCCAGGTGGATGCTGATGTCCTGCTACTTGGCAGCTAGTTCCAGAATAGTTGCAGAAAGATTTCTGACATTGCATCTACATGGGTTCTCTGCATCAATTACACCACACCTGATCAGATTGGATAGAGTTGATGAAATTGAAGGTGAGTACCACAGAAAGGGAGCTGTGATTCCAACGCCCACCCTTTCCTATCTACACCACACCAGGCTTTGTTCAGAGGACCAGAGCTGCAGGACATCCAATATGAATGGGGCAACCAGTACCAGAATCCTTGAGTGACATAGATGGTATCAACTGTGATTGGAAATCCCCAACTTCCAATAGGGGCTTCCACTCCATACCAGGAGTAATCACAAAGGACGCATTTCCATTCACCATGCTGATTATTGCATGTAGTTTCCCAGATTTTATAAGACTTGCAGAGACAATGATCCTGACTCCAAGAAAGCATGCTCTGTGCCCACACCCACAAATCACAACCAAAGAGCTGCAGGAAGATCACACTAAGGAGTCAAATTGGTGACAAATCCAACATTACACAACAAACTCGTCTGCCAAGATGGAATGGCAGAAGAAAGTCACACGCCAAGAAGGCCATCACATACAAGCAGAAGAAATATCTACCTCAACCAATGAATAAATTTCAACTATGAAAACATAGGAAAAGCAAGTGACATTTGGTTTTAAGACTAAGTCATCATCCGTGTAACAGATTCCAAAGATATTGAATTAAATGAAATGTGGGTAAAGAAGTCAAAAGAATAATTTTTACAAGTTAAGAAAGTATAAATAAACAATTGAATTAATTAGTCATACAATACAGGATATGAATGAGAAGTCTGGTAAAGAGATATTTTTCAAAAGAACCAAATAAAAATTTTGGAAATTGAAAGCACAGCAAGATTTAAAAACAAACAAAACCCAAATAACACACAGTTGAAAGCTCCAACCATATATCAAATCAAGCAGAATATAGGATATCAGAACTTGAGGGAAAGTACTCTAAAATATTACATTTGAACAATAATAAAGGGGAAAAAAGATTGAACATAGGAGGTCTCTAAAATATCATGAAAATGTCAAACATTCATATAATCAGCATATCAGAAGGAAAGGAACTAGGAGCAGAGGGCATAAGCAAGAAATTTCCCAACAACTTGGGAAAGTCATGGACATCGAGGTACAGAAGAATATTAGAACCTCAAATATACAGGACCAGAGAAGAACATTTCCTTGACATATTAGAGTTAAATTGAGAACAGTATAGAACAAAGAAAGGTTATGAAGACCTGCAAGAGAAAATCATCACGTTACATGCTGGAGGAATGGCAAAGTCTGATGTCAAAATATATTAAAGAGCCACAGTAACCAAACAGCATCCTACTGGCACAAACACCACATAACCTATAGAAAAAAACTAGGGAGAGCAGAAATAAATCCATGTATCTTCAGCCAAAAGATTTTTGACAAGTGCCAAAAACATACATTGAAAAAAAAGGATAAGTTCTTTAACAGATGGTGCAGGAAAAATGGAATGTCAACAGGTAGAAGATTGACATAAAATGCCTCTCTCTCAACTCAAAAAGGATCAAAGATTTCAATCTAAGACCTGATACTTTGAAACTGCTAGAAGACAACATAGGAAAACACTCCAAGATATTGGCACCAGCAAATGATTTTCTTTTTATTTTTTTCTTTCTTTCTTTTTCTTTATCTTTCTTTCTTTCTTTCTTTCTTTCTTTCTTTCTTTCTTTCTTTCTTTCTTTCTTTCTTTCTTTTTTTTTGTGTATGCAAGGCAAGCACTCTACCAACTGAGCAATATCCCCAGCCCCAATGATTTTCTTAACAAGATTCTAATAGCTCACAAAAAAAAAAAGCAAGGACTGACCAATGAGATTACATCTGCCGATTAAAGAAAATAAGCATCAGATTGAGCAGAAAACCTACAAAATGGATAAAAATCTTTGCCAGGTATTCCTCAGAAGAGGATTAATATCCAGAATATAAAAATAACTAAAAAAAAAACCCTGGATATCAACACCACCAAAATAATCTGATCAATAAATGGTTAATAATCTAAGTAAACATTTCTCAAAAAAGTACAGTGGGCCAATAAATATATTTTAAACTGATCAAATTTTTAGGCTTCTGGGAAAAGCAAGCCAAAGATCAGAATTGCCATTATAAAAAGAGAAGAAAACATAAAAAGAAGGAAAGAATGAGAGGGAGAGAGGGAGGGAAGAAAGTTAAAAATGCTGGCGAAGTTGTGGAAGAGAAGGAACCCTTATCAACTTTTGGTGAGATATAAATTAATATAGCCACTATGGCAAACAATATGGAGATTTTTTTAAAAAAAGTATAGAAGTACCATATGATCCAAATATACAATTCTTGGGTATATAGATGAAGGAAATGAGGTAGCATGCCAAAGAGAAACCTGCATACCCATATTTATTGTGGCACTATTTCAACAGTCAAGAGATGAAATCAGCCTGGATGCCCATCAACCAATGAATGGGTAAAGAAAATATGGTATATGTACACAATGGAGTATTACTTAGCCATAAATAAGAATAAAATCTTGTCATTTGCATGATAATGGAATGGAACTGGAAGACGTCATGTTAAGTGAAATAAGCCAGACACAGAAAAATGAGTATTGCATGTTTCCTGACATACATGGAAACTAAAACGATAACAACAGATGACTTGAATGTAGAAGAGGAACTGGAAGGGGTTTGAGGTGGAAGCAGGCAGGAGAGGATTAAAAAAAGAAAAGTGGTCATGAGCAAAGTGTGATGTATGTATGCATGCATGGAAATGCCGCAGTGAACCCCACTAGTTTGTACAATGAATATGTGTTCTTTATCATAATTAAAAGACAAAGAAAGGCAAAACCACATTTAAGTGCCTGGCTTGAGGGAATATGTGCCGTTGTTAAGTTCCAGGTTGCAAGATTCTAAATGTTTCAGACTGGGATGCTCTGAGGGGAAGAGACCACAATGCTTCAAGTTCCCATCTTTTTATTGATCTCTTGCTGGGCATTGTGGCAGAGAATGTTCTTCCCTGGGGAGAGGTTTCAAGCCTTGAGGTCATGACTGGAGAAAATGCTGAAGTTGTAAAGATATCATTGTCGCCTGCTTCCCCTCTCCTCCTCTCATTCTTGGTATTTCAGAACTGTTGAAGTCAATCCATTGCAGTGGCTGTTACTTCAGGGGTTAGATGAATCCATGAACTATGTTTTCAGGAGTTGAATGTCACTGAGATGAGGTGAGTAGCATTTTCTGAAACTGAAAGGGTGAAAGACATACAGCATTATTCATCATTTATTTCCTTTGATTTCAATAGGAATGGAGGGCCTAATCTTCAAACCAAATGTGACAACCCCCTTTTCTACCTGCAGATCTGAAGCCACATATTTGGAGAAGGTTATGGAAGTGCATACAAGAGTATGGAATCTGTCTGTGACATCCATTGGAAGATATTCTGAGGACTTTTTCACTTCTTCCCACAAAACTTGATCAAAAAACGTGGAGAAAATAAAACTTTTGTGATTCAATTTCAAGTACTTCTTTGAAGGAGCCTCTGAAGATGGTCCATAGCCACATCTATTAACTACTTTCAAGCTAATGCTCCCAAAGTGTGATGTGATCTCACTGTGGTTTAAAAAAAAATCTGTTTAAAGTTATAGAAAAGAAGAATAACTATTGAATAGGATATTTAGAATGAAAAACTGGACACAAACTGTGCTGTCCACTTTGAAATCATATAAAAAGCAGTAACGTGGATGGTACTATGTAGCCAAAAAAAAAAAAAAAAAGAGCTGATAGGACTTCTCATTGAAGATAATGAAAATCCAACTGTGAGTGCTTGTCAGGGCCTCTTTGAAAATGCTGCATTTCTTCTGCACACCCCCAAGCACTCTCATGTCTCAGGGCCTTATCTGACACTGTCCCAGTCTTACAGGAAACACTGGAGACTCACTATTTATATGACATGACCACATATCCCTAGCTCCAGTGTATAGCTCAGCAAGCTATAACTGTGATTTTTTTTTTCTTATTGTTGCTGTTGAAACTATAGAGGATTAAAGATTTCCCAAAGTTCAATCTAGGTAATCCCTTCTATAGGATTAACTCACTGTATGGCTTTCCACTGTATATTTGTTTTTGGTTTTTTTTTTTAAAAAAGAAATAACAGCTTTCAAATACTTAAATCTGGAGTTAACATTTGTTTATTGTGCAGATAACATCATCATGGATAACTTGTGTGTGTGTGTGTGTGTGTGCATATGTGTATGTGTGTATTTTCTACATGTTCATAGCTTATCCCATGAGAAATCTCTAAATGAAAATTAAAAAAAACCCTAGTTTTTCACAAACTATAATTACTTTAATTACAGGATAATTATATAAATAATGCATTTGAATGTAGGTTTCAGTTTTCTTTGTTTTCTAAATATTATCATCTTTCAGTGTTTTCAGACGTGTAAACAGGAAACATTTAAGTTTAGATGAAGAGCAGGTGAACTGCCTATGATACAAGGAGAGACAATCAAAAGATGATTAGGCTATTGAAAACTGCCTAACTAGGTGCTAATTTTTAAGTGAGCAGGTGTACTTAGTCATTATAACTTTAAAATGAAAATATATTTGAATTAAACCAACATCCCCCCCAACATTAAAATAACATTAAAGGTCTGACTGGCACTGACTAAATCCAGCAAAGGCAGAAACAGTTGAAATTCAATGATGAGGCAGCCAGCCCCTTCTGGATGAGGAGGAAACTATAGGTTTCTAAAGAAATGAAGAACCCTTTTCACAACACTTTATTGACTTTCTTTAAAATATGGCCCAGACACCATTAATGTGTTAAAAAGATTAATATTGTACTTATTGTTAAAGGATGATTAACTTTGCAGAGAAATTGTGCAAAGTAAAAAAGACCTTCTAATTACCATGGGTAGAAATCAATTGGTGTTTTCTTCTTTCTCAGTTCAGTTGTTTTTCTTGTTGACAGCGAAATGTATCACTGCACTCTTAGTCTCTCGCATGGAACACAGAAAGGTCTGATTCTGAGTCAAAGGGAGAAGGTAAATTTGTGACTAACGTATAAGTATTAATTTCAAGGTGACTGTGACATACTTGATACTTATTCAATTCACATATAGCTACATCTAAAGTCGAACACTTAGATTCTATCAACATTAATGCATCTAAATAAAATAAACTTACACAACATTTGCTATGGGGATTTTTTTTTAGATCCATTATACATCATGGAAGAATGTCAAATGTAAGAATTCAGGTGATGCATTGAACATTTAGAACATTAATAAATTGTCTTCAGTGCACAAAATTAGTAATCTGAGTTTAAGAGCTTATAAATAGAGAAAATATGCTATCACATATTCAGGTATATAATAAAAGAATTTGGATAAAGTTGTATAGACTAGTTGAGTGAGTAAAATGTGTGATATAATCAACTTCCAGCTATGTCTAGTGAGCCTTCAAATATTGTTAATGGTGTCATCCCCACTGATCTGTTCTCTCTAAACCATTATGGATTTTCCATTCATTAATTTTCTTGCAGCTTCCAACTCCAGGTAAAACTACAGGTAGGCTCTGCTATGGCAATGCCCTACCATGGGTTTACTTTTATTGAGAGCTTCATTAATTGCTTTGGATTTTTGTTTTATAATGATATAGACAATTTGGTGGTACTTCTTGGTGTCTTAGCCTTTTTTTTTTTTTCTTGTGTCACAAGAGAAACAAAGTAAAGTTGCACTTGATTTCATCCGATTTGTGTAGATACACTGTATATACAGAAAAGTATCACAGGCAAATTTTTCAAAAGCTTAGAGAATCATGCCTATCAGAAATCGTAAGTAGTTTTTCTATAGTTGCACAAGAGAATTTGTTAGAATTGGTGCTTGTACTATAATCTGCCATTTTAAATAAACTGAGGCTGAAAAAGTTGAACTTAATGCCTCGATTTACACTGGGATAAAACTCCTCACCGTAGTCCAAGAACGGGGTCATAAATACGGCAAAGGAAATCATCAGAGAAGAATCCAGTGAGGTTGACATTAGTGGCAATGATTCTCGCTTTATGTGGGAATGGCCTTTATGTTTATTCAACTATTTTAATGTTTCATGATGTGTGCATATGTAGCAAAGTATACATGATTAGTATTAATTGAGCTCCTGACCCACATCATTGCTTGTTAATTTCTGACACATTCAGGACCAACCTGTAATATACAGTCCCAATTAATATATGTTGTATGAAAGAATGGACAAATGGACATCAACCCAAATTATTTTCTATCTAAGGGAATTCTTGTTTTTCTCCCTCCAATCATTACCATTTGACTCCTCTTTATCTCTCCCACTCTTTACTCCCAAAGTCATTATTTGTCTGGTTTTAATGTCTTTGTTTCCTTCTCCTTCTCCCTAGACTAGTTCAATGTAGGGTCTCTGGGATCTGAATTCCCACAATGGATTTCTTTAAAATTAGTTGGTTTTCTTTAAGATACTCATACTTCAGTCAGTGTACTCACTTTCCTAACATTGCCTTTGACCATAGAAATGAAAGTGAAAATAAGAAAATAAGAAAATAACTTTTGCTTATTTCTTAATACTTACATACTTGAGCCCAGGTAGATTGTTTAATACAGAAGAAAAAGCAGCGTTCTTATTGTATCCAAATACAAGCAATAAAATAAAACTTGAGCTTGAAGGGCTGAAATGTACTGACAAGATAATACATCCAGTGGGTATTAAACTTGGACCTAAAATGCAAAGTAGAACTGAGTTCTTTCTACTGAATCATTTAGTTTTATTTAAGTAGAAAATTCCAAAAAAGTATCAAATATACTAGAGACAGTAAAATAAGGAAGCAAAACCCCTGAGAAGCCTTGGAGTAGATGAGACACAAAGGTATTCATCCTGTGCTTGTGATACTTATGGTTCTGTCAAGTAGGTCAGATCAGATCATCAGAAAACCTTGAACTGAGACCACCTTCAATTTCTTCCGTGGACTTGCCTTTCTTAAGTTTCATTACCTTCCCTGTAACTTTCATTCAGTCAGTTAAGAAGAATATTTCTACTAAAATCACATTTTTGCTTTGGTGAAGGTCTACTATAGAACCTGAAATGCCTTATCTTAAAGCACTAGTAAGATTTTTTTAAAACTCTGATTATGAGCATGATAAAATCATTGGATTTACTCCTTTTATAGTTTTCCTTCCTTGTTTAATTTATATATGTCTTTCATTGGAAAATTTCTTAAATCATTTTTTATTTAAAAAAATAACAAAGGCTGGGGTATAGCTCAGTGGTAGATCACTTGCTGATTACAAGGCCCTAGGTTTGATTCCCAGCACCAAAGAAAGAAAGAAAGAAAGAAAGAAAGAAAGAAAGAAAGAAAGAAAGAAAGAAAGAAAGAAAGAAAGAAAGGATAGATAGATGGAGGGAAAGAGAGAGAGAAAGAAAGTGAATATAAGTACATGGATCTATTTACATGATACTGATATTAGCTATCACCTTATCCATGGTGGGTTGACTGCATCTGGGCCCTTGGGGAACTGGTTTTGAAAACTACTTCCTTGTGAAATTCATGTAAAGTATCTCCTTATAATCATTAGGTTTAAGATCATTCCTATTCAGTTAAGAGGTATAGACACCTCTTTACATAGGTACAGAGCCTTATTTTCTGCCAAACAGAATATATCTCAAAGCTTTTTCCCAACAAAATCTGAAGACAGGGGAGGGTTCTCTCACTGAAGGATTCTCCTACTCAACGTAACAGAGTAGCATATTTTAGTTAAACAAATAAACAAACCAACACATATTTTTAGAGCACCCTTTGGGATTATTATGCATTAAATAAATTATATTATTCCTCATGCTTTGTTTTACAATGACAATTTCTAAGATATGATAAGGACTTTTATTTATATTCTTTCTTCAAATAATGAATTTGCAGGACTCTTACTTTTTAACCAGAAAATAAGCTATTTCTTAGTAGATCTGCCCATACTCAGAATAGGGGACAAAGGTGTGAGAGTTGAGTGTATGATAATTGCTACTAGCTGTTTTCCCACTTGAAAACATATTGGGGAAAGAATTTTATATGATGAGAAAATGGTACTCCTGAATCTCTCAGGTCCAGAGACTCTCCACCAGTCAACAGCTTCAGCAGGCCTTGTGCTCTTTAAATTCAGTGACAAGGTAGGCCTACATTGGTCAACACTGGGTTTATGAGATGATTCATGTGTAACTGTATTTTTTTTGGTTGAGTCTACAAAATCATAATGCTTGTTCACCTATAATAATGAAACATACAAAACCTGAGAAATAGTCAACATCTTAAGGTAGAAATTTTTTAATTGCTTGATCCTAATCACCCTGTTGAGTATTCTTAAAATTGGTAGGTTGAAAAGAAGTCCAATTCTGTTACCAAGGTGAGGTTTCTTTATAGGTACAGAGAGGAAAAAAGAGCTATTTTCTTTACCAGTCAAGCACAGCCACAGTGCAGATGACTTTATTAGAATTTCATTTTCCATATTGCAAGTTGCACAGCCATCAAGTTTGTATTACTCTGTGCTATGACTAGTGTTTATCTCCAAGGGTAAAATGGGATGATGGTATGCTTTTGTTGTATGAAAAAATAAAATAAAATGAGCACTCTATCAGTTCTTAGTTGGTTTCCTGAATATATCAGCAATTCCCCATACATTTAGGCATCTGTATTTATAATTTATAATCATTGTCTTTTCAACTATGCAATCTGCATCTAAACTTTTTCATAGCCAAGCTCC